AATACCCTTTGTTTATACCTAAAATCCAAAAGTCCCAATAGCATTTCTGACTTTTACCTCCAAATATGTTTACCATCTACTAATGTAAAGGAAAATCTCTATTAAGAAATGCCCCAGCGTTACCCTGTGATGTCAGAGCATATACTCAAAGTCGGTCTGACCAACTGATAGTACGATTCATTAAAAAAAAAAAAACAAAACTCAGGATTTTTGCAGATACAAAATGCTGGAATAAATGCTGCTGTAATTTTAGGGTTCTATTTTAACAGTTAAAGGAGAGACATCTGGCAATAATCTACAAATAAATACAGTGTCTCCATTCTTAGTTTCTCCTCCAGAACACTACCTAGGACATTTTTGCAGCATGATTCATGTAATCAACATAATACATTACAATGCTTTTCTACAATGCTTTTCAAATAATTCCGAATTCTCAGTTCATTCAATAAAGAACCCATTTTCAAAAGAGAAAAGGGAACATGCCATGCCAGAAAACTTGGTTTATTGACTCAGCCCTGCTGCCAGGAGGAACAACGTGGTGAAGCAAACTCCACGATTTCAAAAGCATTTTTTTACAGCAGGGCAGAGAAGAGAGAGTTATTTACCGAAACACGAGATTCCGCAGGTGAGGCCCGAGATGGTCTGAAATCCTCTTCCTTTAGTTCCAAAAGTTTTAATTTATGATGAAGCCTGTAATAATCCTTTCAAGCTGCCAGGTAAAACGCACGCCATATCTCAGCCGTATTTTCTTTCTCCCTTTTGCAGCGTAACTTTGTTATTTGCATAAAGCTTAGCTCTGACCTATGGGACTTTTTGAACATCTACATGTTAGATTAGCTGTCTTGACATGCTCTATCAAGCATGACATCATGGATCTCCATGGTAACCTTAACCACACCTGCCCAGATGCCAGAGTTACCTGTCATGCTCAGACCTAACTGAACATAACAAAACAAAACCTCAACCACCATTTTCCAGGCACTCAGCCTTGCACAGGCACCGGACGGGTGTTTGTTTTTTTTTAAATTGGTGGAAATCTAATTTTGTTTGCCAATAAATTTGTTCTTCACAGAGCACTGGCTGAAACGCTAGAGCTGTTCCCAACCCTTCCACATCTCCCTAGTCAAGTAACAACAAAAGAAATCTGTGGCAAACATCTTCCAGCTCATTTTCTAAAGGCACGCTCAAAAGCTCCAGGTCTGAAAAACTGCTACATACTCATTTTTGCTCTCTGCCCCTCAGAAAGGTTGTTTTTTTTAGGGAGGTGACTTGTAAAACAGGTTCACAGCAGGGATTACCCCCCTCCCACGGCCAGGTTAGCATTTTAACCTCTTAATTGCAAACTCTTTTTCATCCTCACAGACGCTGGCCCAGCTTTTATACTTGTTCCGGCTCTTTCCTTTGCTGCCGACCAGAGTCAACCCCACCTAAGCGGGTGACCACGTCCTACCATGAGCTCAGCAGCAGATGATTCACACCATCTCAAACTTCAGAAGACCGAGACTTTTTTTCCTCCTTCCTTTCTCTTTTTTTCTTTCTAACCTTCCTGGGGATTACGTTAGCGCCTTGCTTTCATTAACCCAGACGAGACAGCCTTGGCAGAGGTACGATATCCAAAGCTTCTGCAGAAACTTGCATTACCTACAAAAAAAGATTTTGTTCCTCAGCTTCCCAGGCTTCCAGGCGGAGGGAGCTCTGGTTCCTGGCTGCGGGGTCACCTTGCAAGGGGGACAAATTGCAGCGTGAGGACGAGCCGGCGGGCTGCAGGTCACGGAGCCGTGCCCGCAGGGTGCTGCATTCCCCTGCGGGTGTTTTGGGGTGCACGAGGCACAGCACGCCTGCACCCCCCGGCTGCTGCAAACTCATGCCCTGGTTTAGCAGGCAGACCTGCTCAGCTGCAGGTTATTTGCCTTGTGGCAGTATCCCAAGGCTCTTGTGCAAATAAAGACGGCCCCTGTCTCTGAGCTTTCCTTTCCAGAACAAGGTATCACAAAGAGGGTAACAAACCTGTGGGGCAGAGGGATGATCTGTGTGCACAGCTGGGAGGTTTGAGGTCACCACGTTAGTTACCATCAGGAATCCCCGCTGGCATTTTACCCAGCCACGATTATACTCCTGATTTGTGGCAGGTTATCAAGAGTAGAAACGGGTCCTCAGGAGGCACATCCAGGGAGGGATTTATCTGAATAAATGAAGCCTGGAGGAAACCATTAATATGTAGTGGAAGAGACAGACAAGATTCAGAGCTGACCTTGCTGGTGGAGGTGATACAGTATGTTCTGACAACATCGAACCCTTTTTTCCTGATGCTAATTTGCTGCAAACCAGAAGTCAGTTTGCCATACTCAGATACTGTTGGTAAAAAATGGGCAAGAGAAGAAAGTCCACAAAAAAAGAGGCAATTACCAATCTTGATTTCCTGGCCCACTTTCATTGGTTATGGACCTGACAGGACTTAGAGCAACCTGAAAGACAAATGATGTGACATCCAAGGGACTATCTCTCGACTGTAAATATTGGGATGTTTTATGTTCCAGGTGCACCATTTGACATAGAGGTTAGAAAATGAAGTTGCATTGGCTGCTATCCGTGATAGATCTCCCACAGTGAGGAAATTCCCACCATGGATAATGTTGCCACTTGCCACTGGAGCTGCTGGAGAAGTAAGAAGGGAGAAAAAGAACATGGAAAATAAATCCTAACATTGTAATTCATGTCTTCCCATGCATCTCACAGATTTTTTTATGTGATGTGTTACTTACACATGCCTACTACATGTGCATGTAGTTTGTCTTCTAAGCTACTGCTACACACATATGCATACAAGGGGAAAAAAGCAAGTATATATGCTATACACACACATACACCCTCTGAAGCAAAATTATACTATGGTCTTACTCATGGAGCTGCTAAGTAAGCCTGCATTATGCATTATACATACACATATAAATATATGCACATATATCTACGTATACCTATGTGTATATATATGCACACACAGATACATACCTATACACATACATACAAACACACACACACAAAATACTCAGAAAACGTGTGTGTGCATGCACAGACCACAACTGGTAAGAAAAAACCCTCTGAACTGTAATACCACGACCATAATAATCTGTTACTGCATCTGATGAGTCAGACTGTTGATACATTTCAACTAAGCAAATTTCTTACAGTTTATCTTTTTTCTTTAAGTTATGCTGAATGGATGGATTCTTCAGCCTCTCCCATTCCCAGGAATGACAGCTTGATGCTCTAAGAGTAATTTTAAAGTTACTTTGTTTTAAAATTCACACTCATTACGTACAATACATACATCTAATCATCAAAAAATAGAAGCAGGAGACATTTGCGTGAATTTTACCCTCTATAAATTAGCAAGGATGACACATTTTAAACAAATAGCAGGAACAGTTACTGCATTCCTTCTGTAATTTATTGCCTTCAGAAAAGGCTCAAATTACAAAATGTGTAGGGTGCAATGCTGTAGGCTGTTCAAACTGGGTTTGCAGTGTCTGCAACACTGGAACTAAATATTTACATGACTCTAAAAGATCTAATCTCTGGATTTCACCCCCCTCCCACCCCCTTTATTTAATTTGTATGCTATCTTTATCCACCACCCAGCACATTCCACACAGTCACTAAAGTTCATAGAAGAGATAAGTGGGGAGGAAAAAAAAAAAAAAATCACAACTTTCAAAGGAAAGGAGGGAAGCTGTTTAAAAATAAGGAATAGGTCACCCTTGTTAAAGCTAAAGTCTTGCAGCAATTTTAGCTGCTGGGGACATACGGATTCTAGCAGTTGTGTTTTGAGGCAGTGATAGCACCTGGGATCTCCAGAGACCCTGTCAAAGAGAAGTTGTAAGGGGGAGTTACCAAATGACCATCTTTCCAAATCTGTAACAATGGTCAGATCACCAAAGGTTTGGAAGGTTCAAAAGACACTGGGAATTCAGTAAGAACTCCCATAGCAGAGTACAGTATTTTGCCAATCAGTTTTTATTCCTTATTTACCATTAATTTGCTGCAAGTGCTGAAATACCTATAAAACACTAAGAAAAAAACTTTTATAAAATGTTTGCTGTCAATCATTTGTTAAATTGAGAATAACGAGCCCAAGATTTCTGAGCCTGAACTCTAAATTCTGCTGTTTGATTGAAATAAACGTATTATGGAATAGAACATAAATTGTCTGTAAAGCTTAACAGATTGAACTCTAACATTGCACCCAAAACCAGAGCCCAGAGTTAGACTGTGAACAGATCCTTGCACAGCATTCCCTGAATTCACAAGGTTGGTGTTGACGGCGGATCCCACCTGCTCTGAGAAATAGATCAGTTTGTCACATCTCCTCTGACCCTACATCTAACTTTTTGCTGCTGAAAAGCAATTGGAGGCAGGCGAAAAGCAAACCACCTTCAGGTATGCTGCTGACAGACCAATGCGGATGTCAAAACAGCTTGGAGGAGGCGGATACCTGTGGATAAGTTCATTCTGTTTGTATTAAAAGACTCAAAAATAGAAAAGAAAGCAAATGAAAGGGTAACAGAACCAGCTAAAGCATACAGAGACACTCTAGTGATATTTTCTTTTCTCCCAGGCAGCGGTGCCAATACTGAAAGTGTAACAGAAGTTAACAGCTGTTCCATATTTTCCCTTCTGCTGTGAAAAGTAGATGGAGACCCATATACTAAGATCAAGAGTCTCACCTTCATCCCTTTCACTGTGTATATTCTAAAAAAAAATGAAAATATCTTCAAAAAATGTCAGTTTCAACAAACAATTCCAAGGTAATATCGAATAGCTTCATTTTTGTTACTGTTTCTTTGAAATTCAAGGGAGCAACTAAATTTTCAGCTATATAAAAAAAAAATCTGTTTAATGCTTTGCTACATTCTCAACTTTTGTAACGAGGTGACACTCAACTTTACAAAAGTTATAAGGACTGTTTAACAAAAAGCAAGATAGAAATTTGAGTTTCTTACTTGATCTCTCAGTCTCTCCTGGTGACCCATGATTGCTGTAGCATGGTGGGGATATTTCTGTTTCAGATGCTCAAGAAAAGCCTCTCTCTTCCTGTCCATTTCTGAGGTTTGCATTCCCAGTATTTCTTTGGAACTGCGAGGACCACCTACTGTATGTCTTCGAGGGATGTTGCGGGTGGACTTTGAATTAGAAGAAGCGCGACTGTTCAGGGTCGAAAGGAGCTCTTTAGATCGGAGACATTCTGCATCATCTAGTGATGTTACATGCAAACTGGTTTTTGCCTGGTCTGTGAAAAAAAACAAACAAAAAACAAACAAACCCAAACCAGAATATTACAAGAACTTAATCCCAACATTCACATTAATAAGAAAAAGAAAATAATTGATATAAAAGCTAGGTTCTTTTAAAAGTCTCGTAGTATTCAATGGCATGTTCTGCATCATTAGACACATATATGTTGTAAGAAGCAGCCCGAAAATAATCATTTATATAAGCTATGCACAGTACTTACACATTTTTAACACACAACTGCAGTATTGCCTCACAGAAAAGTGAGCATCATTAAAGTCGATGTTCCTTTTATATCATCTTTACCACTATGTGACTTGAAAAGAAGATCTGACAGGGCCCTTATTCCTTGACCTTTAAAACCTACAGGGTGCTTTCCATGAGAAGAAACAGGTTTCTTCAATAGGCTCCAGTACACTTAATGGCCTTGTAACTGGTATCGTTAAGGATACCAACTGATAAAATTCCTTTGGCAAGTAGATTTGAAATCCTTAATCTTTTTTCAGTGTGTTCTCAACATACTCTGAAACACATATGAAATAATAAGAAAGTTTGGGGGGCTTTTTTTCCTGATTTCTGACTGTGGTCTGGTTTTAAATTTCACGGATCTCCCCTGGATTTTAAACGTCTCAGGACAGCAGGTTGGAAAATACTACATCACTTTTTCAATAAACCATTTCTTAAGAAAAGGAATAAAAGCAAGTTTTGTATGATATATAAAAAGAAGGATAACACACCTCTGATAAATTTCACTACTTTAAAATCTGCTTGAAGACTAAAGACCATGACGATGTTTGTAAAGAGACAGGCAGACACCAAGGGTATGTAAGTGCTGGCTTATCTTCAGGTAATTGTAACAGGAATCCTCTGGCCCATGAAAAAGCATAGTCTGGAGCCTTGTTACCTAATACCTTTGAAAAATCCCTCACTCCTTTGTCAGCGAAGGAAAAAAAAAAACAAAACCAAACCCACACCAAAACCCAGAAGCATTGAAAAGGCCTCTCCAAGTTTGATGTGGCCTTCCCCATCTTTAGGGGCAGCCTCAGACATCCCGGGGCATGTTAACCCTTTGCAGCACCTCTCCAGGAGCCGGAAGCTCCTTCCTCTACTGTCTTTCATGCATCTCTACTTCCCTTCATCTGACACTTTTCGCCTTGGAGCCCTTTATCCCCCGTGACCTCACTGCTGTTTGGAAACAGGCATCTACTTGCTTTTTTTTATGGTCCAGTCAGTCAGTTTGACACCCTGCCTACCACTCACCTCAGGATTTTACACTGAGGATTTTTCAGCTTTCCGGTGTGCATTGTCAGTTGCCTGCTAAGTCCCATGAAACTTCAAGCCCTGGTGGTAAAGCCACTGCCGGGGTGATGTCTCACCAATTCGCACGGGGAAGCAATTCCCTTGGGTTTCTCAACTGGACTGGGCCCTGGAAGGTCCTCAAAGACTTTGCATGTTTCTGTAAGCTTCCTATAATGCTCAAAGACTCCAAAATATCAACAACATCTTCTCGTTTGCAGTCATGGAAACCGATCCTAAAACCAGGACCCGACACAGGAGCCCAAGCTGCAGCTGGCACCACGCTTTGATGAGCACAGATCCAGGCACAACTTTGAAAACAGGTTTGGTTCAGGGAAGTTTTATTCTTACAGAGATTCAAAATGCCATCTCTGATCTACGCAGCACCTTCTCAGAAGCACGATCCTGGTTAAACCTTTAGAGCAGCAGCCTCACGTGTTGCTACACACTCACATACTCAACTTTTCCAAGCACAAATCAATTAAAAACCATCCAGCCTCCCTGATTACTGAAAACTCAAAGCACCGACCGCCAGGTACACTCAGCTTGTTTGAGAAAAGTGCCAAAAAGGAGAGTTTTGCCTGCAAGAAGTAAGTGTGGCTACTCCAGGTACACTCAGTCAAAATGGTTTCCAAAAGCTGCACAGTCATTTCAATGGATTTCACTTGGAAGGGAAAAAGAGGTGGGATGGGGCTGGCTGGAATTTACCATCTTTAATTTGTCGCACCAAGAGCCCGGAGGTTATATCCCTGAGGCTGCTGGAACAAAGGCAGTAGACATAAATAAGAGATTTCCTTGGAGTTCGAGGGAGTCAGCGTAAGCGTGGGTGACTGAGTGCAGCAATTTGGTATAAAGCCTTAAAGTATGGTCACAGCAGCAGTTTCAATCACTGAATTGGTGGCAGGCACTTCCTCAAGAAGGCAGGTAAACCTACACTGACAAACACAATCGAGAGCTCATGAATGTGTATTTCGGGTCCTAAATCTCTCTCATGCAAAGCCTTTCCCTGCTCTGCACTTCACTCATTTCAATAGTTTAAGAAAATGCCAATTATTTGGAACATAAAGAGACATATCAAATAAAGTGTTTTACCACTATTTGTTATTGGGCAAAACCCTGAGAAAGAATCCAAAATAACATATTTTTTCTTATTCTGTATTTGAAAGATCAACAAATTATCTTATTTTTCTTTCATATATTTGGAAAATACTGTATAAATACCAGTGAAAAGAAAGGAATGTAAACTATGCAAACTAATTGCTGTCCTTGCCAGCGAGCTGACCCAGGCGTTCAGCACAATTCCACAGCATCGCAGCACACAAGCAGCACGCGACTTTCTGTCCAGGCCAAACCCTCTCTCATGTTTGACTACAGGTCTTTCCCCTAGTAATTGCTGAAAAAAAAAAAATCTTCCTTGGCCACTTCCTAGATAGGGACAAGTGACTTTGATGGCAAGTTTGGAAGATGAGATGAAACCCCTCTTATGTACCGCGGGGCACATAAGCTCCACAGCTGCTCTGTGTGGGCCACCGCGCTACAGGGAGGAGAAACTGAGAGAGGTTTTCCGGATCCTGGAGATGCTCAATAACAGCGTGGGCAAACGTTCCATATCTCCCCAGTGAAGATAATAGGCCTAGAAAATCAATCCCCACAGATAACTGTGAAATGTGTGAAGGATCATGTGATGGTTCCCAGAACAGAGCTAAGAGTAGGGAAAAGATAAATAATGCAAGTACCCTCCTTGGAAAAGGAGTAAAGAGAAGCCAATGGAAAACACAAAGGTGTGAGATAAGCTTGTCTCCCTCTCTCCCTCCCTCATATTCAGAAGCTAAAAGCTGAAGGTCTTACTGTTCAATAACGTAGCAAGTCTAGAGGGCAACAAAAAGCAAGAGCTGCTGATTGGCTGGGGACGGCTTTGGTTATCCAAAGGCTTGAGTAACTCTTACATTTGAGTTGCTTCTCTGATCCGAAAACAAATGTCAAGATTTCCTAACACGACCCATTACTACAGTGGGTATAACTACAGGAAAGGCCCAGGTCTGCAACGTAGAAGCAGTATGCCTAGTATTATCAGGAAGATTATCACGAAGGATTAATAGCTGTGAGCTAGAAATTTAAAAAAAAAAAAAAAAGGGAAAAAAAGTCCTTCAACATGTCCTGGTATGCAATTCTTCTAAGTCACACCCTCTACGAAGTCTACAAAGGTCAGGAAAGTCACTTTGCTCCATTACTTTAAATGTTGTGAAGATTTTAATAGTCCTGTTTTGCAACCCAAGTGCCACGAGAGAAGAACAATTTCAGAAAGGAACAAGTATGAACCTGACCTGTACTGATACTATGAAACTGAGCCTTGGAATAAACCACATTGAATATTTAAAGTTTAAGAAAAGAAAACAATTTTAACAGTGTAAGTCAAACCCATCTCTGTTATATAATTTCCTATATTTATGCTAGCAGTAAATTTGAGATTATTTGGAATCTTTCTAATTTACTCCACTGTCTTTACAATTAGCTCTCTTTCCAAGGAACTTACAAATGTAAATTTTGGATATGGGCCAAAACTACTACATTTAGTTGTGAGCTTTCGGCATTCAAAATTTTTAGGACTCATAGGATTGGGCTGGTCAGACCTCTGTTTTTCCAGGTCCACACGTATCTCAGGCATGCTTCACACAACCCATACAGAAGAAATATGTTACTGAAGGCTTTTTTTTCCCCCCTATTCAGACACATCCTTTAAGTGAAGATTTCCATCCCACTAAACATAAACATATACAGACACAGATGCACGTGACTTGCACTGCCCAGTATTTTAACTTAAAAAAATTATTCAAAAGAGCATCAAGCAATTAATGAATCCCCAGAGGAAAAAAAAAAAAAAAGTATTTTTTTTCTCCTAAATTCTCTTGGCAATATATTCTGGTATTACATACTCGTAAACTTGCATGTTTTTTTTAAAACCACATGTACCTGACCATGCACTATTTATTTCACAGGAGCACAGTAACACAACTTTTTCTCAAATGCCTATGAGGAACACAACACACATGGACTGGGAATGCTCACAGGTGCTCCACAAATACGTGAAGAGACATAGATTAGATCAGGTATTTGTCGTGCTACCTGAATTTTAAGCTCCATGTGGAACATCCCACGTAGAACTCACCAGGAAATAGTTTTTGTTCGCTCTTAGACAAAATATATAGTGCAACACTCATTGTACAAACGCACTACAGCTGACCTGCCGTGAAATCCACGCTCAAAATTTCTTGGCCTCACACCAAAACAAACCCAACTGGTTTCACACAAAGTAAACCAACCCTGCAACAATCTGCCATGAATCTCCCTCTTTTTAAAAGCCACCCCGGGAAAAGATAAGCTCAAACCCACTTTTAGGAAAGAAGAGCCGTTTCTCTGCCATAGGTGAAGCGTGCAGAGCGTTTAAAGGGAACGTGACATTATTTGTGCCCCCCTCGCGGGAGCGGCACCCTCTGCACCAGGCAGCGTCCGGCACGCCGTGACAGCAACACGGCAGCTCCCTGCTTTAAAGGTTAGACAGAAACCTCCCCAAGAGAAAGTTAAGCTCACAAACTCGGAGTATTAGGGAGATCTGCAGAGCCATTAGCACAAGAAAGACATGCTTTTTTTTTTTTTCCTCCCCTCTCCATGCATTCTGCCTCCAGTTACAAAAAGCAGCAACGAGGGGAACGTTTAAAAGTAACTCCATCTTTGCCTGATTCCCCTACTTACCCTTCATCTGCCTGCTGTCTGCCGAGCAAGCCAGGCACAGCTCAAGTTTCTGGCTTTCCTTTTCCTCCATTGTCCCTGCCTACCGCACAAGCTCCCCTCTCCAACTTGGAAGCCGCAGCGCCCGGACTGTCAGCACCAGTCTCCGGGAGGAGAAAGGAAAGGAAAGGAAAGGAAACTCTCTCCCTTTCCCGCAGCGAAGCGCCCCGCTAAGCGCCCCGCATGCCCGCCGTGCCGGGACCCGGGGTCCTCGCCGCCGTGGCGGTGGGCGGTGGCGGGCGAACGAATCCCCCAAGCCCTGGGCCCCAACAGGTGATGGGCTTTTCTGCAGGCGAGCCCCTAGCCGGCTCGCTTCCCGCTGCAGCCAGGGAGCTTTATGAAAGGGAACGTTTCAAACATGATTACAGGCCTGAGTCTCTGCTGGAATCCGAATCCGTAGCCTTTTAAATCTCCGTCATGGGACAAAAGCCTTTCCATGGAATATTTTTTTTAAGCTCGTAACCACCAAGCCCACAAACATTCCTGATAAATGCTCCTCTGTCTTTTTTAGCGTCTAGTTTAAAAGTAATTCATTATAGGAGCACTTTGAGGTTTTGTTTTCTGGCGAATTCTTTCAAGCTGTTCACAGAATGAATTAGGGGAAAAAAAAGAAATCAAGATACAGGAATTCAACTTTAGTGAAGCCAATAAAAATGAATGGTAGCAATATGTAAGCAGGGACTTTGGTTAAGAGGGATTTTGAAGCCTCAGTGGCAAAGCATATAGAAACATATAACTAATTCTCTTTTGGTAGATCAGAGGCAGGAAGCCTGCATGAGAATCAATAGATCCACCGGGCTGTGAGGCAAAAAGAGAAGGATGAGATCAAATCCCACAGATTCCAGTAGATGTCACGTGTCAATTTAATGATGAATTATCAGACTGAATTAGTCTATCAAAATCATAATGCAGAGACAGAGATGGTGGAATAAACTGAGTGTGGAGTTGCAGCATCAAGACCGAGAAGTTTCTCCATGGACAACTTCTAAATTAGGTTAAGAAAAAAGCAAAACTGAGATATTAATAAAAATATGCAATTTCTGATTTAAATCAACCTCATACTGCAATAACAGATAACAGTATCTTGGATGTCTTTTTAAACAGACTTAGCATAATCCAGTCTTCCAAGCTGTCTTCAACTCTGACTTCAATATAACATCAGCTCAATTGCTTGCAATGACCTCTCAACCATCTGGACCAGACAGGCTAGAAAAGTTCTCCTACGTTTCCTTCTACGTCTCTATCTGGTAGAAACGTCACTCTGTCTACCTAGATTATTGAATGTGGAAATGTTTTGTGTGTATATGAATTCAAGACAGAAGCTCAAGGAGCTCACGCTCCAATCCTCCCCTTTCCACACAGAAAAAACATTTGAGTAAATTACAATTACAAAACTATTGTTCATTAGATCAGACATAACGTATTCTCTAGCACTTAAGAAATATTTATTTTCCTTTTCAACAATTAATTCTATATGGTCTTGGAACTTGGCAAAGGTCCCAGAAATCTGGCACGGAAAACACAGAAAAGATGAAAATACAATCTAAACATTAACACTGCTATTTAAGGTCTGCAGTAGAGTGCTCCCAACAGAATACTCCTATAGTTGCCCTGCAATATAAAGAAAACAGTGTCATACACATCATATTTAGAGTAGTGTTTTTACTGGCCATGGGTTACTTTCTGCTCATTCTGACTGTGGACTATTTTAGGAGGAGAAGTGATGGCCAGCCATCTCACTTATCTGACGTTGCCTTTTGTGATATGGAGGAATGTGCCTGTAACACTGAGGTTTTCCAGAGTCTGGACAAGGGTGATGAGCCTCTTGCAATTTATATTCACAGCCAGCTGGAAGGAGAAAAGGGCTCTTACAGGAATAGTTATCACTGAACACCATCAACTTCAAGAAATACAGAATAACTCAGAAACCCCTGATGGGAAAAGAAAGCCAGTACAGTTGCCTGAAGTAGCAACGTGAGACCTGTACCAAGACATTGTCTGTACACAGGGCTCAGAAACTGAGAGTTAGGAACCTAAGGGCATTTTAAAAGGCCTTATCCTGAAATAATGCAATGGAAAGCACAAAATATACTTGCCTACAAATGCTTAAAGGGAAGGTGCTTTTGCAGCCTTGTACAGAAACTGGGGTTGCTCAAGATCATCAGTACAGTTGGTACCAAGAGCCTTAATGAGATCAAAATCAACGCACTCTAGCCCCTTAGGAGGCTTTACCTCCAGCCACGGTGTGGAAAAAAAAACCCTAGGAAATTAGTTTAAGACTAAAAAAAAATTTAAAATTTCATTAAAATTAAAATTCCTACTCTTAGCCAATACCATTAATTTTCACAGCCATAAGCACAAGACAGAGAGTTGGTCCTTTGACCCCTCCACTGTCATGTCTTACTGACCAGCCAGGTGCCTCTTGAGACGGTGCCAGCCTGGTCGGAATGTGTCGCTTTCATGACCACAGCAAGATGCTCCCACTGCTGAGACTGACAGTAAATGTTATCACTGATGCTGCTAGGGGTCCTGAGCAACACCGACCCCCAAAATGCAGAGATGATCTAGGAGAGATGGCTTATTTGGTTGCAGACATGTGACTTGAAACCTGGGTGTCACCTTGGGAGAACTTCTGCGGTTGCAGTAGTCGTCTCTCAAATGGCATGAAATAGCACTGGCAAAAGGTGAGACTAAATGTGGCACGCCTCTGTATCATCAGAACCAAATAAGAAAAAAAAGCTCGTCCAGCCTCACAGGAAACATAATCGCCTCTGCTGCGACTCATGACAGGGAACAGTTGGGACAGCAAGGTCTCAACACATGTTCTCACTTTAAGGGAAAAGTCCTTGGTCCTAAACTGGATTTAATTAATATATGTAACAAAAGCATTCCTTAAGATGTTACCTAAGCCTATTCAAAAGAATTAGTGAGACTCCATTATACTGTTAGGCTCAAACAGAGAGCTCCCCAGCACAGTCACTGGGATGAATCACTAACAAGTTAAATAAACTCGATTAACCAGTTCACAGCACGCAATCAGCATTTGTTTATCTGTAGGATCAACAATAACAGTGGTTCCTTTTAATTACTGTGCTCAGATCTGGACCCATCAATATCAAAACAATGCACAGAGAATAATTGCTAACAGGTTATGCTGTTTTAATTGTGTTTAAAATTAATGTCCTAGAGGGTCTTAAACACTTCTGGGTTTAGCATGTGCATAAAAGGAACACTTAACAAATACTGGCTGCGCTCAATTAGTCAAACTTACAATATACAATGACTCCACAGCTCTAGCAATTATTTGCAACTAAAAAAACCTGAGAAGTTAATTATTAATAGTTAAATCAGAAGCATCCCGTAACTAAAGACCTGTCTTGATGTCCATGTGAAATCATGTAGCCACTGAGAAATACATCATGAACACTCTCAGTAGGAATCAGTTTAATGCTGTCTAGCCTATTATTGTCCAGAAACTAAATATTAGACCTGAAGTGGTGAGGGGGAAGTCTGGGAGGAATTACAATCACTCAAGCAGGTCACAGTGCAGCTCCTCTCCAAGCCATCACACAGCCAGGGATCGCTGGAGCCTGCCCTGGAGGAGGAAGCATCAAGAGGACGCTCCAGTGGATCAGGAAATCTCCCCTCCATGCCAGGGAGATGTGGGTGGCTATTCACTACCAACGACTCAGACTTGAAATGGAGAAGGTAACTATGGAAAAACAGCATTGAGGGTGGTGAAACTCTGATTCCCACCTCGGACAGCGGAGAACAGCTTCAGGGCCGCAATTAATTCGAGCACATCTCTATTCTCGTTTGTGCTTAGAGAGTTCACTGCGGTCCTCAGTGTGGTCTCTCAATGCTTAATAACTAAAATACGCTCACTCCTAAAAGAAAAGGACTATGTCCAGATATGTGTATTATCAAAGATGATGTAATGCTAGCCACTAGCCTGTACAAGCACAATAATAAAAATCTCTGAGGTCTATCAATACAAATCCATGCAAGTAGATCTGGGAGAAAGAGGTTTACACTATTTTAAAATTAATTGTCTACTGATTTGGTATCATACAATAAGGAATCACAGATTTTTAAGATGTGGAGGGGGGCTTTATGATCATTTGGTCTCATCTGCGTAGTAAGGGATTTCAATGAAATTGGTTCTATTTCTAATGCAAGGATAGTGGTTAAACTATTCAGTTTCAAATTCAAATTAAAGGAAAACATTTGAACTTGATTTTAAAATGTACGATGACAAATAATCTAATCCAACCTCTGAGATCATATATAACGACATTACCTTCACTGTTAAAAAAATCTGTGGAGTTTCAATATTTGTACTCCATACATTCCAGTTCAGTTAAGAATTCTCATGCTTGCAAGGAAAAATTAGCCAAAGGAGTGAAATGGTAACACTCTAGCTGAAGTGAAAAAAAAAGAAAACTGAGTATGAGCTTCTCTACACATCTCCACAACAGACTTTCATCATGTCTCGTTAGACCTCCAGGTTTCACCTCTTCAGAGAAGTTCAGAGACTGACAGTGGTGCCAAGAGCCACCACCAGCCTTAATCACTAAAAAAACTATGAAGAAGAGTCACTAAGAGGTTGAACATGAGATATTCAGGCAGAAGATACATTAATCTTTCCAGTTCCATTTCAAATGGAGCTCTGGGGAGCACCTATAATCACCAGCACTTGGCATCACTGAGCTCTCAGGTATGAAGAAGAATGCAGCATCCTAGCCCTCCTCCAGCCAAAAAGCACTGTGCTGTGAAGTGTTTTACATATCTCCAAGTAACAGAGCATCCTTCATTCTCTCCAAAAGACATTTTGCTCAAGCTCACAACTTTTACACCCGGACACTTACATCATGTTAAATAGGTTAGGTTTTCTGTTTTCCAAGTTCTATTCTTGTTTCCTCCTTTCCTTCTTCTGATTTTTTAAATAAATGAAAAGGTCTGAAAGCAGTAAATACTTGTGCATGCCCTAAACCAAACTGAGAAAAAGGACTGCCGTCATCACAAAGAAGCTCTAACGTTCAAGTTGAAAGAAAAAAAGAAAAAA